GGTCGGAACATACCAGCAGTGATCTCCTCCGAGACACTTTGACATCCATCATGTTTTTATCAACTAAAATTTTAATACTGAAAAGATTCTGAGGTCAAGCTCCTAAACAACATAATAAGGAATTCCATGAAAAGCTTCATGATATTCGGTAAAATCCCGGGCTATTTCCTCTGATATAATCCGTTTGCCCATTTAGCAATGATGAGTGTCGGTAGCCAAATCAAAGTTGACGCAACTCATCTCTGACTATAACGAATAACCATTTTGTTATTTGTTTTTTATTTCATTTTTCATCCACAGACCGTGGACAATGATTATACTTCAGGCTTAACAACCCCTTAAGAGTTTTTACCTATAGTGGAAGAATTCTAAGGCCAAATGGAGTTAATTACAAAACAAGCGCATGGTCATCGAGGCCGGAATGAAGTCTTCAGCATGATGAATATCGAGATCCTTGGGCATTTCTTACGAACCATAGTAGTCATCAGGGCCGGATTTATTTAGACTTGAAAAAGAAAGTGGGGGCTCTAAGCTATAGCTTGTATAGCTTATACGTAAATCCTACACTGGTGGTCATGATTCTAAACAGTTGCTAGTAGATCAGTAAGCTTTACGAGCAAGGCGATAAAGATTAGAATGTCAGTGAGTTAGTTCACAGGAACAATATGACATGCTTTCGGGACCTTGAAAAGTAAAAGATCGCAGAGATTTCTAAGCATAATATATTATGGATACTATAGAGGTACTAGCATTTCAGGAAATACATGATGTAAAGAAAATGAATCCCGGGTTAAATGAAATAACTACGACTACTATATACAATATATATACTGAAATGGCTGATATGCACTATTATGATGAATAGCCCAAGGACGCTTATAAGGTATGTTCTTCAGTGGGATCAAGAATAGTGATATATGTATATTGAGAGTTTTGAATTTGCAAAAAGAAATGTATACAGTAGTGAGAATGAAGTCTTCAGCATGATGAATATCGAGATCCTTGGGCATTTCTTAGTGTGACCATATTGGTCATCAGGGCGGGATTTATTTAGACTTGATGAGGGCCCAAGCTATTTGAGATATGGGGCCCTTTATAAGTTTGTTATACTATATTTATACAATATTTTAATCTTTTTGGAGCCCCAAAGAAAGTGGGGGCTCTAAGCTATAGCTTGTACAGCTTATACGTAAATCCTACACTGGTGGTCATGGTTCTAAGCACTTGATTTGGAAATACATAAAGCTTTCTTTTATACGATAAGGGGCCAAACATTTTTCATTGTTTTTTCATTCATTACATTTACACAAATTTCAATGATCTGGCTGTGGATATCTGTTTTGAGTCAAAAATTATCTATCATTAAATTTGTATCTGGTTCCTTTATGTATTTATTTGAGTAAATAATTAGAAAATATATCTCTTCGAATTCTACGCGGAAAGATTGGAACCGTTCTATTTTTAAATAATTTAAGCAGTAAAACTATTTCATTAACAGGGATCTTTACGGCATACGTATGTAAGTTAGTTTTTATAGATCTCTTCCTATCCTCAAAGGCAGGATAGTCTTCATCAAGTTCTGCCTTTATTTTAAGAAACTTTGCAATTGAAAGTAAGTATATAGTATGTCTCAGATGAATACTGAAGCAAAAAGCCGGTTTGTATTTTTTGCAAACGCATTGTGAAATAATGTAACTAATTCTATTTTCTCTGCTCCAAACAGGAACGAAACTGTTACAGTATGCTACACAATTTAAATTTTCTTATGCGCGGTTTGCATAAATAAAAGAGTAATGCAGGCATCCATCTTTTGTTTTACATGGAAAACGAGCAGCGACAGCCCACTTACATAGATAATGTAGTTGTCATCCTGGTTTCAATTGCCTTTGAACAGACAGCTGAATAAAGATTAACTATTATTATGCTTTATTTTTACCTTCACCCTTCCGCCTTTTCCCGCTTGTTAAAGTACACGCACATCTGTCTACAGCAGGGAAATTCTTATCCCGTGCTTGAATTCCTTCCAGATTTAATGAGGGGGCAGACTTGCAAGGAGAGTCTATTTTGGCAAATGGTCGTACTGATTCAAATTCTAAGATAACAAAAGGGGGGGAAGAAATGATAATTTGAAATTTTTAGGTTGTAATGCAGCTTTTCAGAAAAGAATGTATCGTAATATTTTTTTTAAAATTAAAATGTATAACAAATTTAAACATATTAAAACACTTTTAAAAAAATCTGAAAGCTTTCAGATTTTATATTACGCCCAAAAGGGAGGTTTTTTTTTTTTTTTTTTTTTTTTTTTTTTTTTTTTTTTTGGAAACATTTTGCGTGTTACCTTTATTTAACAAGTTCTTCGCACTTAAAACACACAAAATTTAATTCAATAGCAATATCACAAAATATTTAAAAACAGCGAAACAGCATATCTTTGGAATTTCCGATACAGAGTCTCGCGCGTTGGAGATAAGATATGTTTCTTTTTTCCGTACAGTGTTGCCATTGCTCGTTTTGAAATCTTTCAGTTTGTTAATCAAAAATTCGATAAAGTTTTACAAAATATGAAATAGATAATAAAAACAATTCAAAATTCGGGCTTCCAAGTGCTCATGTTTGGTTGGAGAACTACGTTATTTAAAATTTAATGACTCTAAGGTACCGTTGTTTCTTCATAGCGTCAGAAAACATTTATACATTCATGCAGATTGTTCATTATTTAGTTTCTTTAAATATACTACATGGCGATTATATTTGGTAGCAACAGTTTGAAAAGAGAATCGGCGCAAAATGTAGTTTTGAAATTAATAGCTTTTCTGGGCTAACGATCTTTGGAATAAAACATTTAATAAGAAATAAAAACATTTCACTATTCTTTTTAAATAAAACTATTATCTACTCTCGCCAACGCATCAAATTAAATTTTTATCTTTTTTATATTTCAGTCTGTTGAAGAATATGAAGCTCTGGTGTTTGTTTCTGTGTTTTGTTTTAAAACGTAAAATAGCATGAAACATTTAAAAAGTAAACTGTATCCACAAAACGAGTATAAATAAAAAGATGTAAAAAGACCTTTCAATTTATATATTCCTACAAAATTTCATCATAATCATTACATTTTATTTTTAATGCAAAGGATACTTTACGATTAAGGTACCAGAAACCTATTTTATTTACGACAGTCATGAAAACGACAGCTTCAAGTTTAATTTATTTACGACAGCTTCAAGTTTAAAAATATCGTAAAATACTATTTAGATTAGAAGTTAAAAAAGAATGACATTTTAAATGATTGATATAATACTATATGTATTCAGCAACGAATTTTTATAACACCGAAGATAAATGAAAGATCTTACATATATTTTGGATGGGCAACAATATATATTTATTTGGTGACTTTATTTTAAAAGTAATGTCAACATTTCTAAAACTTAATTTTGACTTTTCATTCATGAAAACATTCTTACGTCATTTGAGGTTGAAAGTATTAATTGGTAACACCTTGTCTGACCAGAGGAGTTTTTCATGCCTTTTTAAAGAGGGCAACTACAGTGAAAATGGAAATGATGCAGTGCTCTTTTATTCTCTGTTCCTTGTTTTCCTTCTCCCCTTTTATTTCAAATCGATTAGAAAAATTCTGAAACAAGTATTTCTTTAATTTATAAAATCGATTTTATCTTAAATATTTTCCGTGTGACTTCATGCCTCTATTTTGCAGGAAATAGTATGTTAATATTAACACCGGTATTGATTTCATTTTAGGATAAACAACATGCATAAAAATTGTTGCGTGTGTACGGGTTCGTAATAGATCGAATGCACAGTAATGATAGGTAATGATAGTTCGTAATGATAGGTTAATAAAAATTTATTTTAGCAAAATAAACACTTAAAAATTCTGGAATTTTCCGCAGAAATACTCGTACAGTTGTTACAGTACAGATCATACAGTACAATCAGTAGTTACGCTTCAAACCACTAAAAACATTAAACATAATGCAATGCAAAGCGCATCTAAAGAGAAAGCTAACTCGGATATATCTCACTTCACGCGGAGCTAAAGACTCGCACAAGAATAACTAAGCAACTGAAAGCAAATGCTCTCTCTTCGGCATTAAATAGTTCTCAACCAGCAGCCGAGATATTTTTAGTACTTTCTGCTTCTGGAAATTACTGGAAAGCAATAGCAGGGTAGAATTACGGTTACAGCTAGCAAAGTGGTCAATTACATTTATTCAATTGCATATTACTGTGATACAGGGACCGAACCCAAATGTCGCCAAATGGTAGCTAAATTAGGCGACTTTTGGCGATTTCTCGCCAAATTACACATGACAAAACATAAATGTTTAAGTCTTTTAAACATTTTTGTATCTGAAAATGTGTTTCTGAAAAATATATAAATATAAGATCAAATATAAATAAGTAAATAAATAAATAAAAGCACCGGATAAAAACTAAGAAATAAAGGCCGGTTAAGGACTTAACATGAAGGTGCAACATAAACTGATACAGTAAAGACAAATTTTCATATAGTATAATGATATAATATTACTTTACTGGATACATAATTAAATTTGATGGCGATAAGTTAAGACTATTATCGCACGTTTTCTAAGTGACGTTTTCCAAGTGACCCTTGGATCACTTAGAAAACATGAGATTAACATGACATCCTTGGATGACTTAGAAAAACATCAGATCCTTGGATAACGTAGAAAACATGATATTAACATGAGATTCTTGGATCTCTTAGAAAGCATGAGATCCTTGGATCACTTAGAAAACATGAGATCCTTGCATCACTTAGAAAACATGAGATCCTTAATTAAGAACAAGTCGTTAATTACGGATCACTTTGAAATCTAATCTAGCAATACCTAAGTTCAGTCTGAAGAAGAAGAATTCAGAATTCCATCGCATATAATCCATTCCAACCAACTTGGGGGAAAAAAAAAAAAAAACTTTTTTGCCTGCACAGAGTAAACGTAAAAACTTACCTGGAACACATGAATAAAGAAGGACGATGATCCCCTGGCATCGACACTCTCTTTCAGGAAGGTCAGTCAGGAGGTCATAGTGGCAGTGAGACATTCCAGAACACCTAATAAAGAACAGACAGCACTGAAGCTCAAGACAGATTAGGTTTTTAAACAGCATTATCAATAATAAATCGATAGAAACTTGCGCACAGTTACAGTGATAGATTTTGACCCAGATGCCATATTTTTCTCAGGATGGTGATTGGATCCTAGAAAGTAAGTCTGGGACTGATCCTAAACCCTAATTTATTTCCACAGTTTCAGTTTTAAAGGGTCCCAAAATAATATCATAATTCATTATAATGCAGGTTTTCCCTCATAAGAACACGGAAAATGGACGTAGAGTCTCTTTTAAGACAGTTGACTATCTTAATCAGGACCTGGTGATTCTCAATTTAATGAAAATACCATTGTCCGATTCTATACGGTGTGAAAACAACATGCAGTATGTACCGTAATGGATAATACTTCTGCTTGCTATTGTAAGAATTGCAAAAAAAAATTATTTCATTCGTTTTATTAAATATTTATACAAATTTTTTTATGAAAATCAATTAATTGATAATTAATTAATCGTTACGGTAATCTGGGGTTCTAGACACGGCTTTGTTTTGGGATATCTCAAAGCTTCTTTTTTATATTTTTAAGATGAAAAAACAGGATTATTTGAAATTTTAAATATTGTTCCAAGGCCAACTAAATTATGAAGCTCAAGATTTAGGCTTTGTCTGTCTACACAGTAATCTGGGTCTTGTTTCTTCTTTATCTTCCCCTCCTTTTTAGAGCAATTATACGTATGTCGATCGTGGTATACTGCAGCAATATGGTGGATTATGATGCTAAAAATTGAGAAGCAATGCTGTAGCGAAATATATGAAAAAAAGGAATAAACCGTTCATACTCAACGTCTTTCTAAAGAACGTTATACCTACTATGCCTTCAATAACCTGCCGATGTGCTATCAAAGTTCTATTCTCACTGTCCTCCGAAAATGTAATTTTATTCAAGGATTAATTCTAGCTCTGGAAAACAGTGCAAGAAAATGGTATCGTATTTTTCCGCGTATTTTCACTTCCGGTTTTTATCGCTAGGTACTGAAAATTTAAAAAAGAAAAATATTTGCCTAATTTTTCCCCTTCCTTGATGCGTTCAGAAAAAGAGCTGTCCTAAATTTTAAAATGGATTTTTCCATGTAGTGATTGTTTTCATCTTACTAGCAAAGAAGAAGCCTTGCAAACTACTTGCGAAAGTCACGCTGAACCTTCTAACTCCTGAACTTTATGTTAGCCTATTACAAAAGCCGGCTCATCATAGAAACACCAACTGATATTCAGTCCCTGATTTTGAGAAGTAAAAAATTAAAATATCTTACTGGATATTGTAATGTTAACATTACTATGTATTCTTATACGAGTATGTAAGTATAATATTGTGATACGTATAGTTTATTCACAACTCCTTGTCTTGTGGTGTTCTTACTGTAATCGCGCCCTTCGAAAATTAAATTATTTGCATAGTTTTACCCTCGATCTTCAGATGATATAATTCGTAAAAAAAAAAAAAAAAAAAAAAAAAAAAAAAAAAAAAAGAGAGGAGAGAGAGAGAGAGAGAAGAAATACTCTAGGAAATACGGTATCGCCATATAGCCAACTCGTAATATTATTTGCCAAATTAAGTATTAAAAATATTTTTTAGTGGAATATTTTTTTGTGTAGGGGGCTAGGTATGACTATTAGACTCTGATTTTAAAGTATAAAACTGCATGTTAATAGAATTAACGTATTTTTAACATTTAGAAACTCATAACTCACTTGCATGAAAATGCTTTCAAGCATACCATATGCAACAAACTTATAAATTAAAGAATGTTACATACTAGTAAACCCACGAAGAAATATCACAGCATGTCATTACATCGGAAAAAATTCACCTCGAAGTATCTAAATTAACTTTTTAACTATCCAAGGAGAGCAATAAGTTTGGTGTTTCGGCTGTGAGAAATCTGCAAAAATCATAAATTTTTAAATTAAACATCTCGGTCAATTTTTGTTATATAGTTTTTGTTTTATTTTCTAGAATAAATATATACTTTTACTACATATATAATTATTGGGACCGGGAGACCATCTAAAACGTTAAGATTTCGTAATTTTTACAAAACTAACTTTTTAGTTCAAAGGATCATTAGCCTAGAAAGTATCGAAATGGCAGTTTGCATTGTATCACTTTTTAAATTGTTGTCACCAAATATTGTCAAACTGTATTATATTTAAAGGAATTAAATAATGGAGATTCTGCCTGAATATATGTATGTTTCTCTCACTGTGTAAAACAACGCTACCTAAACCCATCAAATTTTGAACAAAGTAGTCCTCCAGCCGAGTATGAGCACCTGGAAGCCCGAATTTGGAATTTGTTTTATTGCCAATTTCGTATTTTGTAAAACTTGAACAAATTTTTGATTAACAAACTCAATGATTTCAAAGCGAGCAAGGGAAACACACTGTACGGTAAAAAATACTTTTATCTCCAGCTCGCGAGATTGTCTATCGGAAATTCTAAAGATGTGCTGTTTTTAAATATTTTTAGCCCAAAGGGACATTAGCCGAAATGCTCTCGAAACGTGTATGCGGGATGTGAATGAAAAAAACACGTAATATAAAATCCGAAAGCTTTCATATTTTTTTAACTTAGAAATGCCAAAACATGAATAGTAACTGTATAAGGTATTTCTCCAGCCTTCTTAGCAAGCCTTCGTAGTGTAGTAGTCTGCACGCTGGGCGCGTATTCCAGAGGTCCGTGGTTCGATTCCCGGCGAAGGCGTTGCTCATTTTTCATCACTCCTGTTATAGAAATATCCTAATGTTTCCCCAAATAAGGTACTTCACAGGTTACAAAAAAAATTGTAACCTGTGAAATCAGCGAATGATAAATTAGTTTATCTACGTATTTGTATATTGCTAGTCTCTCATCTTAAATTTAAATTAAGCGCAAGATATTTAACATACTACTAACTACCTTATTTAAAACATTTTTGTAGATGGAATGCTTACGATTAATGATTACGAAAATATGGCCTATTTGAGAACTTTTATGAAGATGGTAAATATAATCGCGAGTAAATAAAAGTTTCTTATGGCAAAAGGTTTGATCGCCAGCAGTACGTCTCTTTATTTATATGTCATACTTATGAAAAAGTAAATGTTTCGGATTATAGGGGAAAAAAATCAATATTAGTTTATAGATCGATTTTCAAGTTTCATATCGAAGAGATACATTTATGTCTGCTTTCAGGTTTTAAGCAGAAATCTGAAACTCAAGTATCAAACCCCGAGCTTTTCAATATTCTGCAGGACTCTCTGTTTACTACAATGTGTCTTTTTAGAAGCGATAGCTTCAAATTTGAACAGTCAGAGGCTTGTTTTTTGAGCATGATTCCGGATCACCATGGGAGGAATTTTCGACCCCCCCCCAATAAAAAAAACCTCTCCAGATCTTCTAGGGTGCTTTGGGGAAGGTGTTCGATTGGCAGATAGATCTAGAGGCGTGGAGCGGGACGTTCGGGCGTTGCGGATCACGCTCACGATGAATGACCGACGCTCGCAATCTGGTGAACCATGAGAAAGGAAAAGAGAAAAAAAGAGCCAACATCTCGTTGTTGTTGGGAGGTACTACGCCCTTCCGTTGCAAGCGCAGAGGTCTGAATAACTCTGAATCTTATCTCGTCTGGCGTGTAAGGTAATTCAGATGAATGGAAATTTTTCTATCGTCTTACATCTGTAGAATACGTATGTCAAATTATCAAATTATTCAGTTCCTAGCTGTTTCAGCGAGTTTCAAGAAACTCACTACCCGACAATTTCTGACTTTAAAATTTAACTGAAGTCCAAAATTTAATAACTTGTTCCACGTAACATCTTTACGCTGAAGGAGATTTTATTTACCCTCGGCTTACAAAACGGAGCAAACATTGGGGGGAAAAAAAAATCCAAACCTCAAATTTTAGAATCAAAACATTTTTTCTGTGTTGCCACTCCGAGAATCCTAACATCAAGATTAAATCAATGATACAGCAAAAAACATGCTACATGGTTTACGTAACATTAACTAAGCAAGCAGCTTCAGAAGGAAAGTCGTGGTTACATATGCCATAAGACAATATTCAGCTTGCTGCATCCAACCGCACTAGCATTTTCTCGAGATCATTAAATCAATAAAATAATTTTATAAACAGTTTCTGTTAAATATCTTGCGCTTAATTTAAATTTAAGATGAGAGACTAGCAAAATACAAATACGTAGATAAACTAATTTATGATTCGCTGGCTTCACAGGTTACAATTTTTTTTCTTTTTAAAATCAGAAATTGAATGTGTGACACGAAACTGTTGCATTCATTATTTTGACTATAATAGGGCGTCCACATAGATCGCATGACTTAATACCTGACTGAGTGATTGGCTGTAGATCAGTTATGATTTAAGAAACGAATCAAGGCAAGCTTGAAGCTGCCTAAGTTTTATTTATAAAAACACAGTATTTCTAATAAGATTATAGGGACATTAGGTATTTTTTGGAAGCAGGCAAGATGAAAAATTAGCAACGCCTTCGCAGGGAATCGAACCACGGAACTCTCAATTTTGCGCTAAGTGTGCTGACCACTACACCACGAAGACTGGCTAAGAAGGCGGGAGAAATACCTTATAAGATGTCCTCTTAAAACACTGCAGACAAAAACTTCGCAGAGAAAACAACACAAGGGCAAAACGTCGTTATACAAAACATCGTGGGAGAAAAAAGAAAGAAAGGAGAAAATACAATATTTATATTCTAGCACAATTTCTATCACTTTATTTTCTAGCACGATTAAAACGGAAGAAAATAAAGTGGTGCAAAAACTTCGCAGTTTTAAAACATCGTCGTACAAAATATCGTAGTAAAAAGTAAAGCACCTACAAATCATCGAATGGCGACAGAATTGCAAACATGCAATTTCTGACTATAAAAATTCAAGTGAAGTTTATTGCAGTGATTTGTAAATGCAAGAAGAAATAAAGAATATT